TACCTTGTTCAAAGTGCTCGAACTGGCCGGGAATTCGGTGCAGGACGATGTGACTGCTAGTGTGATTTATCTCGTCGGGGAATCGACTGACCAGCACGGGTATTCAGTGAGACGGTGAGGCTTTTCGTTGGTCTCTGGTATTACTTTGGCCGTGGTTCAAATGATTCGTTTTCCTGATATACTGTCGAGTGTACCAAATTTTTCCTTGTATTTTATAGTGCATTCGAACGTCTTCGTCGAGTTTCAGGGGACCAGCAAAAAACTATAGTCAGGGTAACATTCATTTTTATTGGGGTAGAGAGTTGACAGGATGCTGAACAAGGAGGAAAGGGTTTACTGTATTTGCCTAGTTAGAGGTGAAGCTTTTGAGTTAGGAACGTTTTTAATGCAATCTTTCCAAGGGAATTCAAACGTGGACTTGAAAGAAATTCGGGTTTCGCGTAGATGATGTTGCGATTCATTAATATGCTAACTGCAACTTGGTTCGGGGGAAGATAGGTTTTTTGCTTGTGTTTATGCAAATCTTAGATAACATTCATTGTATGAAGCGCCCTGAATTTTTATTAAGCGTCTTATGTTAAGCGCGAAATTGTGGTTTTATTGTGCCACCAATTTTAGAAACGCGTCTCATTGGATGTGTAGCGTAAATTTTTTTTCCCTCATTTTGACGGATTGTGATGTTTTCACAGCTTATGTCGGTTGTTGGAGAACTCGACGGAGCATCAACCTTTGGTACAAGTAGCCATGTACTGCCTTGGCGAGTTTGGAACCCCGGCAATGCTCGACGGTTCCATTGGCGTGTTGAGCGGTGAAACGGATCTCGGGCCGATTTCTGAGGAGACAGTTCTTCGTTTATATCAGCAAGTTTTGCAGGCGGGACAAAGAAATGCTCTCGTCACGCGCGAATATGCGCTCAGTTCAGCAATGAAATATTGCACAAGGTTTTACATTTTTTCAGGCTTTTTTTTTTTCTTTCATGATGAGTTGGATACTGAAATATTTCTTTGTCAATTTCAGGTGCCAGTCAGTGACGGTATTGACGCAATTGAAGGAATTGGTTTCTTCGTTTGCGACGAATATCAGTGTTGAGCTTCAGCAAAGAGGTTTAGAATTTACCCAGCTGTTTGGTCCTTATGAGCACTTGAGGAATGGACTTCTAGAAAGAATTCCTCCTTTGGAGAATCGGCAAGCTATCCGAGAGAAGAACAAGGCTTCCTCTGCCAATTCTTGTGAGTTTTTCAAACATTTTCAGATGCGATCAAAAGATATTGACAACTTTGAACGGAGATTAAATTGGAGGGTTTTCTTATTTTCGCAGCCGTTCTTCAGAAAACAGTGGAGTCGGAGGAAGTGAAATCTGAGCCCCAAGAAACATCAGGAAGCGCAGCACTTTTAGACCTTCTTAGTTTAGATATGGAACCAGCTTTGCCGGCTGCTCCAGCCCCGCTTTCTTCAGAAAACAAGGAAAACCTCTTGGATATTCTCCTCAATTTCGGTGGTGGTGGTGAAGCCCCGTTGGCAACCAACATTCTTGAAGCACCGACGACGACGACGAGTAATTCAATTTTCGACGGATTCGGTGACTTGTCTTCTTTGAACAGCGTCGTTGAGAAGCCACGAGCTCCATCTGTGAGCTTCTACGAGAAACACGGGCTCAAACTCGAGTTTGAATTCTCCAGTGCAGAGATTGACGTTGTCGGCATTCCGACTGCCGTGAATCTTTGAACAGCGTCGTTGAGAAGCCACGAGCTCCATCTGTGAGCTTCTACGAGAAACACGGGCTCAAACTCGAGTTTGAATTCTCCAGTGCAGAGATTGACGTTGTCGGCATTCCGACTGCCGTGATGACGCTGACAGCGACCAACTCTGGCGCGGTTCCGGTGTCGAATTTCCTGTTTCAAGCCGCTGTGCCGAAAACTTTTCAACTCCAGTTGTCGCCGCCGTCGGGGACGACGGTGGGCGGAAGTGGCGGACGTGTGACACAAACAGTCAAGGTGCGGAGTCTCGCTGCTGTGCCGCCGGCGTTGCGGATGCGAGTCAAGTTGTCGTTTAGTATCGGAAGCGTGGATCAGGCGGACCAGTGCGAAATCAACCAGTTTCCGGCTCTTTGTTGGTCCAACTAGCAGCTCTTTGAAAGGGTCATTATTGCGTCGACCTTGCTTTTTTTTGTCGTCATGCTTTTTGTTTCTCTTTTTTTTTCACGCTTTATGCTGAAAACCAACCTTGATTTACCAGGAGACCTTGGAAAACGTGTGGTGGTGGTGAGCTCGTTGTTTTGCTTCTTGCGTCAGTCACTCTCAACTTGGAAACTGGCGATGGATGCCCGTAACTTGTGCTGCTCCAGCCTGCGAAGAATTTACCCCCAATCCCTTGATGATCGAGGGTCTTTTGATCAAAAAGTTACTTGATTCTAGAAGCCTTTATACAATTGCGTAATGGATCGTTTGAATAAACTAATCGGTGATTTTCCACGTTTTTCCGAAAATTAGAGACACGCAGTATTAGGAAAAAAGGCTGAGCACGAGTTTTGAGGAGTCTGCATGAGCTTTTCGTGAGCCAAATGCTAGTCAAGATTACCGAAACCTATTTCAGATGATGGGCAGACAATACTAGTTTCCTCATGGATGATCAGAAAAAGAATGTAAATGTTCAAACTTTAATTCACAACAATTCAAGGAATGAATCATATGAAGTGTTATAATGCAGAACATTTTATTTCTTAGTCAATATTGATAATTTTGAATCACTTAAGCACTAATTTCGTTTTTCTCAAAGACAAACTTAAAAGCGTATTTATTTGAATTAGAGACACCATCCACTTGAAAATGAAAGTTGAGGATGAATTTCAAATTTTTTTTACTTGTGAAGTCTTTTGAAACTGATTGCCTTCTTGGATAACTTCAGATTTTGATAAAAAACTAGTATGAAAATGAACATTTATGCGAAGAGATGTTGTCTTTGAATTATCAAGGAAAATGGTTTTTCCTGCATAATGAAAACTGTCTCACAAAGTCAGACGTTCGATCTTTCTCAGAATGAGTGAACTGCTGTATAATGGAAAGGCTGTATTCACGTCGTTGCATAATATTCAAGTAATTTACCGTAGTGAACTTATGACCATTGATGAGAAAAATCCATTGACGTGTTTCAGTTGCGCAAGGAGACACAAAAACCCCATTCACCAGCAAATCTGAATCGGTGGAAATTTTCTCATCCTATTTTTATTTTAAAAAGTTTTGAAGGTGCCTTGGGGTTTAGTTCCGATCTTGGAAATATTTTTCTTCGATTTCTTTTAAGTTTGTCTGCTTTTGAGGACTGAAGGGCTAGTCAAAAGAAAGAGAAAATTTTAAGCCGTATTTACGAGAAAAAACAGTGTTTTCTTGTTGCGGATTTATTCACTATGGGAGGATACTTAGACATCCCCTTGCTTTGTTTAGGGCCGGAAATTTTTATCAGTGAAGGAGGTGAGCCGTCCAATCGAAGTGTGTAAAGCTGTCAATTATTTAAGGTTGTTCACCAGATTTTTGTGTCCGTGTGGGAGTCAATTTTGATGATTTTTTTTCCAAAGCTTTACCCTGGGTTATCCCAAAATGTTCCCCCTCTCCTATTTTTTTCTTGCAAAGGTGTGCTGGACTTGGCCCCTGTGTTCCGCGATTTCGGGGAGTCACTGAGGGTTCTGTTTTCTTCTGATCAATACTGCGACAGAATTTTTTCTGCTTTTTTTTAAATTACTTTTTCCTGCCATTGTGCTAACTTTGACTGCGTGCGTGAATGAGAGTTGATATATTTTGTGTTGGATTATTGTTGGAAGGGGAAAAAGAAAACAAAACTTGGAAATCGAGGTCAGGATAATAAAATGACCGAGTTTGGAGCGAGTTGCCACCTTTTCTTCGTGTTGCGCGCGAGTCTGTGGTCGAGTACTGCTTAGTAACTTAGTTTAGAATTGATAATGCCTTTGTTTGATCAGTTGGAAAAAAATATTCTAATCACGTAAGTCATCTTTGGGATTATAAGGCTTGGTTCTCATACTGTATAAAGTCTGATCTTTTATTCCGACGCGTCAGAAGCCGCTATTTCTTTACTTCGTGTCATGTTGAATCACAGATTTGTGTGTTCTTTGAGAAATTTGCATACATCGAGGTATTGTTGCTCCTCTTCGTTTTTTTTTTGTCTGCAGATTTTTTTTTGAAAGCATGTGTTGTAGGGACTGTGAAATGCTGTATTTTGTTGGGAGATCAACTGTCCACGTCTGGTATTCAGTCAGACGGGGTGAGTCCATATTTTTGTTCTCTCGTTTTATTATCGCAAATAGACCATGATATTGGCTATGATGATACAAAGAATTTGTTTTGGCCGTGTGAGGTTCTCCGCGACCAATATTTTTCGGGTCCCGCAAATTGTGTTTTAGAGAAAGTTCACCTTTTGGATTGAATTTTTTTTTAGTTTAAGGTTTTAAAAATCTTGAATAGCGTGTTTTGGATGCCTTGTGATTTTTGAGGAATTTTCTTCCTTAGTTCACCCATTTGATCTTGTTTGTCTTTTCAATAACTTGAAAGCGAGGAAATGGCATGAATTTCCATGATTCACGCCGATCAATAAATCCATGAATGGCTGTCCAGTCTTTCACACTGAAGAATTCATGACTTGACGCGTATTACTTGACATGATCTGCTGACGTTACCAATTTATATTTGCGCCGGATATTGAAAAGAAAATTCGTCACCCCCGTGATTCAGAAAATATTTTTTGAAGAACCGATTATTTAAATAATATTTGTGAGATGAATTTAAATCCACTGCGGAATAGACGTTGTATTTGAAATTCACCAGGTTTCAGTTGGATGAATTGCGACAAAATTCAGATGTATCCTTGTTGAAATAAACCTTTTATTCATGTTGCATAATCTGCTGACGGCGTAGATACTGTAGAACTTGAAAAGTCGGATGAATTATAATCAACGTCAAACAGGGGACTTTCTGGAGCGGTCCCGTTGATTCCACCCAAAATTGAAGTGATCAGATTTAAAAACCAAATCTTGAATTCCGTATTATTTTTCTTGGGTTTATCTTGGTAGTCGTCGTAATAGTCGTATTGACTCGAATTCTTCCTTCTCGATTGTTCGTTTTGGAAAATTCTCCCTGCATTTTTTGAACAGAAAATATTATTTCGGCGCGTCTGTAAATGAATTTGAATGAATAGTATTCGAGGAATTAATTTCCTTGCGTAAGAGCAGAAGAATTATATGAGTAAATGCTCACGGGATTTTTGAGTTTTTTCCGGAGATTCTGAAAGCACGACAAATACTGTGACAGCAATCAGATATCCGATGGTAATTCTTGAAATCATGGCTTGAATTCTTTTGGATGAGTTCAAAATTGCAAAATGGTCTCAGGACTCACAAGATCAAAGTTCGTTTCTCTTGAACTTCGCAAGAAGACTGATTCGGAAAATTGCGTAAAATGAGTGAATTCCATTTGTTGTTTACTTTTTCCGAGAAAAATCTGGTAATACAGGGCAGTACTTGACAGCAGTGTTTGAAAAACAAGATTAAAAATTTGGAGTACTGTATCTAACAACAATATTACATTCCCCCGAGTGAAATGCGCACAAGTTTTTTTTTTCCAGTGTAAATCTTTGAAAATCTGATTGTACGCCTTAGTACAGTACTAAGTTGTGTGTCTGAATACTGCACAAAATAAATTTTGGACCTGTAATATTTTAAATTTAACCAAATGATTACATTTTTTTCTGTACGCTTGTTTGGTTGGGATGCCGATATTTATTTACTGTTCTGCTCTACAGTAATGAAATTTGCGTTACCTTGAATTTTTCATTCAATGACGGGTGATGCAAATTTGCTAATTTCTTCGTTCGTAATATTAATTTTGCGAATTATTGTTCGCTTAACCCCAAGTAAAATAAAGTTTTAAAATTGACCTCGTCACTAATCGATAAAGATTCGCCATCGAATAGGATAATTTATAAATTTGGTCAAATATACATTGTGATTGACCACGCGTCATCGCAACAACTGTAAGCCATCAATGATTATTTCGCTGGCTGGGAAAAATGAATAAATAAATCATCAGCAACACTTTCATGAAGGTTGTTTGTCTTTTGGGATGCAGTTGGCCGTATTTTGTTCACCGTTGAACTGTAGTAAAATTATCAAATAAGTGAGAATGAGTCCCAGCATCTGGAGAATTGAATAAGACAAGCTCTAATTTTTTTTTGTGCTGAATTTCCATTTCTTTTTTTACTCACTTGTGTCATCAATTTTCGGCCCAAATTGAAATATCCATTGGCGGTGAGTCGAAGGGGTTCTTGCCATAAAATCCGATCCAATCTGGAGTCCGTCGTTCGAAAATGTGGCCATTCTTGTTTGCCTCTGACGACTTTGGTCTTAATATCGTCATCCTTGGATAATACAAAATAATCTTCCAGTTGATCGATTCTGAATTGTAGTTACGATCTACAGATTATAATATTCTATTGATTCAACTATTGAACGAATTTTTATTTCGCCCGAAAGAACAGTTGAGAATGATTTAAAAATTTGCTCACCATGTCCATGATTTTTTGCACTGTATTGTTGAACAATACGAACGGACCGACAAAAACAATGAACAGCCCCCCATAGGGAATCAGTTGCTTTGCAGAACTTATTTCATGAGCTTTTGGCAATGTGTTGATGAAAACATACAAGCAGACTACGAACATGGCAAACATATTGGCATGCAAGGCAGCGACGCATTGTCCAAACACATCTGTGATCCGCTCGCAAAAATCTGACATCGCAAAATAAGCCCTTGCTAATTCTGACTCGGTTTGCAAATCCAACTTTCCGGCTGTGTAGTAAACCTGCAGTTGTTGGCGAATTCCTTCAAAGCAATTTTTGCACTCCTCTGTCACTGACCAGATATAAACTTTCAGAAATACCATGTGGTAGAATATGGCGAAATTCCATAATTTCTGCGCAAACACATAGAAATAGATAATTTTCACAAGTGTCTCAGTACTTGTTCAAGACATTCAGGTGTAAAATTCCTTTTGACAAACCCGCTCGTCTGAATCTATTTGGCGAACTTGACTTGCAAAAAATCATGAAAATATATTGCAGAGACAAATTATTGTACTTGCCACTGTAATTATGATGTGGTCGATTTTAGACCACACCCGGTAAAAAATGCAAGCTTCTCCCATTCCTATGCAAATCAGAATGACAAAAAGAGCCTTCCATTGTACCAAAGTATTATTTTCAGTTGGCATACATCGAAACAACGTTTCTTTGTGTTCCAGGAATTTTTCAAACTTCTTTCCTTGTGCCAATTGCACGACAATGCAAAATGAAAAGCCGAAGACAAGTATGCCGATTTGCAAAGCCACGCTTCCTTGTCTCACTTCTTCCGCGTAAAAGGACGCATATTCTTCCAAATCTGAAAAATTTAAAATACAATTTATTTCCCGACGCGCAAATTTGTCACTTTTTTTTTATAAAATTACGTTTTGGGAAAATCCATGGGGTTGACAAATATGCGAACGCTGACACAAAGTTCAGCGAGGCGAAAAATGTCCCAGCCGAGATCCACTTGAATTTCGGACTTCTGCTAAAAATATGAGTTAGTGGGAAAAGACCTGAGCATAGTAGAATAAATCGAATGACGTTTTCCGGTACGTTCGACCTCATGTTCCACCAGATACTGATGACACAAATAGAAAAAATATGTCGTTCACATCTGGTAAAGCTTATCTGGGGAAATGGTTTGAATTGATTATTTACCGAACTATTTATTGATTGATGAACTGCGTGTCAATCGCATCAAATACATAAACCACTATTTCCGAATCTACTTTTTTTGAGGAAGAAATTCTGCACGTGTCTTATGAGAATTAGCAAATAGCTTCTGGTCAATTAGAAATGCTGATCCTTTTTTTAAATAGTCGTAATGTTTCTATTTGTGGTGCTGTACCAGCAATGTTCTGTATCGATTATTAACTTAATCATTGATAGAAGAATCGCGATATGTTTTTTGTGCAATATTTTTGCCTTTCAATTTAAAAAAGAGTATCATGCATTTCTTAACGCATTTTACTTTTTTATTGTATAGTTCTGTATTTAAGACATACTGTACATGCGCAAATCCTTGAACTAAAAAGTTTTTGTGCATCTGTATTTTCATATTTTTATTTACGTGTGCATAACAGGCGTATAAACGAGGGAAAAATGAAACAAATTGAATCAAGCTTAGTAGGGATTTTTTACTTTTTTTAGGTACAGTGTATCATCTGTTGTCTGATGAAAAGGTTATTGATCAGAAGGAAACGTACAGTATTTTAAAATCAAGATTCCGAAGCCTTTTCATTGGTCAATGCAGCAGTGAAGATCTGTTTGACAAGAAAGCCAATATTGAGTTCTTCGAAAAAATTTTAATTTTCTCATATTTGTATTATACTGTACAGAAAATTTTGAAATGTCTTGATTTAATGAAACATGCTGTGAATACGTTTCAAAATACTTGTCCGGACTGAGCAAAAATTATTCCCAGCTCATTGTTAATAAATTCATTTCTGATATTGTGATCATTCAAAAAAATCGACATCGTGGCAAATTTTCCAATTGATCGATTCAATTCACCGTAGACTGAAATCAGACGGCTTTTCATGAGGATTTTTTTGTCTTCATTTCGGGATACAATTTGCCATTTTTTGTTCCCCGTTGAATTGTATTAAAATGATCAAATAGGTGAGAATGAGTCCCAGCATCTGGCGATGAATTAAAGAAGTCAAAGTTCAGATTTTTTGGAGAATTTTCCATCGATTTTTCTACTGACTTGGGTCATCATATTCCGGCCTAAATTGAAATATCCATAGGCGGTGAGTCGAATGGGTTCTTGCAGTAAAATCCGATCCAATCTGGATTCAGTCGTTCGAAAATGTTGCCGTTCTTTTTTGCCTCTGACAACTTTCGTCTTTATTTCATCATCCTTAAAAAAAAATATGGGTGGATGTATTACTCTAAAATCAAAATAATTTGAAAATCGGAATAATTTGAAAATAGAGCTGCAGTTTTAAATGGTTAAAAAGGTACGCTCACCAAGTCCATGATTTTTTGCGCAGAATTGTTGAAGAGCACAAACGGACTGACGTAAACAATGAACAACCCGCCGTAGAGAATCGTTTGCTTTGCAGAAATTAAATCATGTGCCGTGGGCAATGTGGTGATGGAAATGTACAAGCAGACCACGAACATGACGAAGAAATTTGCATGCAAGGCAGCGAGGAATCTTCCAAACACTTCTGTGATTCGCTCGCAAAATTCACACATTGCGAAATAAGTGTCTGCCAATTCTGACTCGGTGTGCGAATCCAGCTTCCCAGCTGAGAAGTAAGCCTGCAGTTGTTCGTGAAAGCTTTGAAAGCAATTTTTGCACTCCTCTGTCACTGACCAGATGTAAACTGTCAGGATTATGATGTGGTAGAACATGTTGGATCCCCATAGTTTCTGAGAGAGAAAAAAAATCGAATTTAGAATATCTGCTGCCAGAGAATTTTTATTCAAATTCGCAAAAAAATTATTCATTTTCATCACAACTTCGGTTCCTCGTCGAACTTGTGGCAGCGCAAAAAATTAGAGATCCAAAGAGAAGGAAAAAATATCCCGAAAGATTCTGCAGGAAAACATTTAATTTATAATATGCTGCCGACGAATATTTTTTTTCGAATTCGCAAAAAAATTATTCATTTTCATCGCAACTTCGTCGTCCTTGTTGCGCAAAAAAATAAAAATACGAAGAAAATGTATCCTTTTTGGCAATTTCCTGTTCCCAAAAAAATCATGAAATTGAGCAAGAATGTTGATGAAAACTTGCCGTTTTCTTTCCAAGTATTCCACGATTAAATCGCTCTTTCGGACTAAAAATTGCACTTGCCACTAAAATGAAGACGTAGTTGAATTGATAAGTCTGCCCGAAGTATGTCGAGAATTCGTACAATCCTGAAGATAACACGATGACCAGAAGAGCTTTCCATTGCACGAAATTATTATTTTCTGTTGGCACGATATTCAAGAAATCCTCCTTGTCTTCCAAAAATTTCGCAAACTTCTTTCCTTGCGCCAATTGCACGGCAATGCAAAATGAAAAGCCGAAAGCAACTACGCCGATTTGCAAAACCACGCTTCCTTGTCTCGCTTGTTCCGTATAAACAGTCGCATAGTTTTCGAAGTCTGCAGGATTGCAAATTGAATATTATTTCCCGACGCGTAAATGTATCACTGTTTTTTTTTTTTAAATAAATTACTTCTTAGGAAAATCCATGGGGTTGCCAAGAAAGCGAATGCTGCCACGACGTTCAACAAGGCGAGAAATGTCCCTACCGAAATCCATTTGAATTTCGGACTCTTGCTGAAAATTTCAGTGAACGGGAAAAGTCCTAAACATAGTAAAATAAATCGAATGACGTTTTCCGGTACGTTCGACCTCATGTTCCACCGGATCCTGATGATACTTATAGGAAACAATGTCGTTCACATCTGGCAACGCTTATCAGGGAAAAGAAGGGGTTGAATCGATTTTTGACCGACACTAATCGACAATTGACAGACGGGCTGTCGATTGTGCACTTGCCACTTTTCTGCGGTTTTTATTTTTTTGGAGAAAGAAAGGGAATTGGTGACATGTGAGCATTATCGAAAGTACCTGGAATGAATTTTATTGTGTCAAAAAAAAACATTTGTTTAATTGTAGAAATGACGAGAATCCGTCAGCTTAGCGCCAAATCCGAATAAAATGCATAAACTCTTTTCTCCAACTGCAAGTAGGTGTTTTTCTGCAATAAATTTGAAATTTTTTGTAATGCACTGGGTTTGTGAGCCAAAAAATAATAATATATGTGTGTATGTAACACCATACAAATCCCCTGAATATTAAAACGCATTCGTATTGACAGCTTCAGTATTCAATGTACAGTTGCAACTGTTTTTGCGTCCTCCTTGTTTTCCTGCATTAATATGATCAAGTACGTCAGAATGAGTCCAAGCATCTGAAAATGAAAATAAAATGAACATATCGATTTCAGAAGATTGAATTCAACTTTTTTTTTCTGAACTTGGGTCATCATCTGTCGACCGAGGTTGAAAAATCCGTAGGCTGACAATCGAATCGGTTGTTGAAGCAGAATTCGGTCCAACTTTGACTCTTTCACTTGGAAACCGATCGAGTTCTTCTTTCCTCTTAAAATAATCGATTTTATCCCGTCATCCTGTGAAAGATCGGCAATATTTAAATAAATAAAAAATATACGTTAATCGAAACGTTTCATTCGAAGGCAATTTTAAAATGCGGGTTTGACACGTTCTCATCTGATGAACTCTGACGTGATTATGTACGAAATTCTTCGCTGCATCTAAAATAAAATCAGGTGCCGTGTTTTGAAGTTGATATTGAATTAATGTTACTTTCATTCAAGTCCACGCGTGACAAATATTGTTTTTAAAATAGAAAAAAATTCCGTGTTTCTTGATTTACACTAGGACACATGTGCCATTATTATGTCAAGAATATTATCTAGACAAATAAAGATTTTTGAGATTGAGTAGAAATGTTTAGATAAAACACGCAAATTCAGTTGGGTTGTGATTGGGGTGAGGAATAACCCTATTTCAAGGTTGTTGTAATTTGATTTTTGACGCACAAGTAAGAAAGGGCAACAATTTTGCGTAGATCAATGAGAAACAACACACGCAAATGGTCAAATCAGAATGATTGATTTTTGACAATTTGGGAAAACAGGAAAACTTTCCTTCAAGGACAAAAAACAGCAACAGGATTTTAGCAATAAAATGCAGCCTTGAAGGCTCAGGAAGAAACATGAGAACCAAGGTCTTCCAAGATTCTCACAGAGATGGAATGAAAAAAGAGTTTTTACTGAGAATTCGGCTTCTCTGATTTTGGTGTGTTGAATTTGAGGAAGCTATTTAATTTTTGCAACAGCATAACCGGAAATATTCTATCAAAGTTCAAGCAAGTTAGTTGTAAAAATCCCGTGAAATGTAGGAACACTTTGAATGAAAAATCCAAACAAATTAATAAATTACCCTTACATGTAACGCAAAAAATTTCCGTGTCTCGAGTCTTGTTCAATAATTTCATGAACGTATTTTATGCGAAAACTGGGAAAGAAAGAGTCACATACTGATTTTACTCACCAGATCCATGACCTTCAAGCGCTAATAAAATTAGCATCAATAACAAGAACAGAAATATTTTTATTTTTAATCAATTTACTTTTAAAATTAGCATGAAATGTTGGAAATGAACAATCTGAAAAAAATTCCGATCAAAAAACAGTTGAATAATCATATGAGCTAATGCCTCATTTTCTGGGTCTGAAATTTAATTGGCACTTTTTGGGAAGACTCGAAAACGAAGACTTAAAAACTGAAATCACTCACGAGATCCATGACCTTTTGCGCTGAATGGTTGAAGATGATGAATGGAACCAGATAAACTACAAACAAACCCCCGTAGACAATGGCTTCGTTTGTTGATATTGTCTCTTGAATTGTTGGCAATGTAGTGACAACGATGTACAAACAACAGACGAAAGTGACGAACAAAGTTGCGTGCAAACAGGCGATGAATATCCCGAAAGTATCAGAAATTCGATCGCAATATTCCAAAACGCAAAAATATGCTTTTAGCAATGACGATTCTTTTGCCGAGTCCAGCTTTTCATCATTGAAATAAGTTTCCATTTGTTTGTGCACACTCTGAAAGCAGTTTTTGCACTCCTCAGTCAATGACCAGATGTAAATCATCAGCAACGCCATGTGATAGAAAATTGAGAAAGTCCAAATTCTCTGAAATGTCAATTTCAATGTCGCCAAATACTTATTCAGTCAATTTTTTGGTCATACGTCAAGTGACCGACAAACAAATATTTTCGTGAAATGGGTATTTGTTTCAATTTATTTTCTTGAGAAGCCTTGATGAATTGTTGATGAGGCTTTGCTTTTTTATTGTTGATGTGTTGGTGAATTTACTGTACTTCTAAAGATTCATTTTTTCTCCTCTCATATATTTTGTTTGTCATCAACTTGTTGATCTTTCAATTTTTCTTTTAAAAAATACGTTTCGTGTTTTTTAATGATTTGAACTTGAATATTTCAGTTCGCTGTAGGGTTTTTTTTAAAGAAGGAAGTACTGTTCTGTACTCTTTTGAGACAGAAGTTTGATAGCGGAAGTGAAAATAATTCGAGACGTCGGATTAAAAATTAAAATGACACTTTTCTCTAACTTCATGATTTGTATCCCTTGGTTCGTTATTCAATATTAAATTAAAACAAAAGATTAATATTTAATTGTTGGTTGATATTAATAATTGTCTTATGACTTTAATCAATATTAAATTCATGGAATCAAAAACTCGAAGATTATTATAATGTACTACTCGCCATTGAAATTCCGTATTTGTCCATTGGAAATGCTTTCCCGAAGAAAACTGAAAATTCTCCGATTCCCACGCAAAAAAGCACCCAGAAAACGGCTTTCCATTGCACAAATTTGTTGCTCGCAGTTTCGACTGCATTCGAAAGACTGTCTTTATCTTCTATGAATTTTGCCAATTTTTTCCCTTGCAGGAATTGCCCGCAAATGCAGAATGTAAAGCCGAGAGAAACGATGATTCCTTGCAAATTTGCGCTAATTTCCCGCGATCGATCGTTGTTTTTCCTTCGGTGATTAGCCATCTCTGCTTCCCAGAAAAGAATATCCCTCACTGTATACTGATGATCACAGATTCATTAAAAAAAGGAATGCAAATGATTACCGTTCTTTAGAAACAAAGGGGCAAAGAGGAATCCTAAAGCTGCGATTAAATTCAGTAGCGCGAAAATAATTCCAGCAGAAAAAACTCGAAACTTTGGGCTTTTTGCGAGTGCGTTGGAAAGTGGAAATAATCCAAAGATCAGTAGAAGAATTCTTATAAAGTTTTCAGCAAGGGCCTGCTTCATTCTGCTGTTTTCTTTAGATAAGTCCACCAAGTGCAGGAATTATTTGATTTTCTACGAATGTCTCGATCATTATCTTGAGTATTTTCGATTTTCTGCCAGAATGCTTGAGAAGAACTTGACAGAGTGAACCTCAAATTAATTGTTGCGATTGATGAGCACAATCTCCCGCCAAATCCGATAAGCAATCCAAAAGATTGTCTTATTATTGATTGATGTTGAGTTCTGAAACTTCTGAAATTGTGTTGCCAGTACTGAAAATATTAAAGCATGAAAACTGAATATTGATGTTAAGCTATAAATATTCAGAATTTTTCAGGTTTTTTTTTTAATCGGAGTTGTGCAAAGGTGTGTTCGAATCAAATTTCCCATGGTAATTCCCTCTTTTAATGTTTCCAAGTAAAAAAAAATTTAATAAAGAAGGTCAATAATCCGTCTGAACAATTGAATCGTCATTTTCAGGAATCATAAGGACTCGAGTTGTCTTCAAAAGTTCAAATAATTTTGATTTTTTGTTTCCTCTAATCGAACCGAAAAAAATACATGACCTATTCTTTCTTCGTCCAATTTAGGTTTGAAAACGTCCCTATGATGCTTGTAAAATAATGTTTTTCACATGAATTCAAAACAATATTGTGGCTTCATATTTTGTTCTAGGAAACTCATCTAACATTGGTGAACTCACAGTCGATATTGTATTTTTCAACCTCGTTTTTGAAAACTTTTTTTGCATTACAAAATCCTTATTACGACTTATAAAACTGTGAAAAAAAAATCAAGTCAGTGAAATTTATATTACAAACTTGTATTGCCAACAATTTCACGTGCAAGCGCTGAATATCAGGATTATTGTCGGAGCCAGGGATGTATTTTTTTTAATTATTTATTAAAATGTAATTATGAATATGCTCCATATGCCGACTTTGAGTGATTTTCTGCTTTTCGGAACCAAACGAATCCCCGAAGAAGAAAAAAAACGTGAATTTTCAAAAAGAAACTCTTCTCAAATATATGACACTCTAGGTATTGATTCCAACTCCTCTCTTGTGTTCCTCTCCATTCTCTTGTAGCAAAATGATCAAGTACGTCAAAATGAGTCCAAGCATCTGAAAATGAAAATAAAATGAACATATCAATTTCAGAAGATTGAATTCAACTTTTTTTTCTGAACTTGGGTCATCATTTGTCGACCGAGGTTGAAAAACCCGTAGGCTGACAATTGAATCGGTTGTTGAAGCAAAATTCGGTCCAACTTTGACTCTTTCACTTGAAACCCAATCGAGTTCTTCTTTCCTCTTAAAATAATCGATTTTATCCCGTCGTCCTGTGAAAGATCGGAAATATTTAAATAAATACAAAATTATGGTAATCGTAACATTTCAATCGAAGGGAATTTGAAAATGCGGGTTTGACACGTTCTGATCTGACGAACTCTGACGTGATAATGTAAAAAATTCTTTGCTGCATCTAAAATAAAAGCAGGTGCCGTGTTTTGAAGTTGGTATTAAAATAATGTTACTTTCATTCAAGTCCATGCGTGACAAAGATTGTTTCTAAAAAGGAAAAAAAAATGCGTGTTTCTTGATTTACACTAGGACACATGTGCCAATTATTATCAATTCAGCATATGTCAAGAATATTATCGAGACAAATAAAGATTTTTGAGATCGAGTAGAAATTTTTAATTAAAACATGCAAATTTGGTCAGGCTGTGACTGGGGTGAAGAATCACCCTATTTTAAGGTTGTTGTAATTTGATTTTTGACGCACAAGTAAGTAATGGCAGCAATTTTGTGTAGATCAACAAGAAACAACGCACGCAAATGGTCAAATCAGAATGATTGATTTTTGACAATTTGGGAAAACAGGAAAACTTTCCTTCAAGGACAAAAAACAGCAACAGGATTTTAGCAATAAAATGCAGCCTTGAAGGCTCAGGAAGAAACATGAGAACCAAGGTCTTCCAAGATTCTCACAGAGATGGAATGAAAAAAGAGTTTTTACTGAGAATTCGGCTTCTCTGATTTTGGTGTGTTGAATTTGAGGAAGCTATTTAATTTTTGCAACAGCATAACCGGAAATATTCTATCAAAGTTCAAGCAAGTTAGTTGTAAAAATCCCGTGAAATGTAGGAACACTTTGAATGAAAAATCCAAACAAATTAATAAATTACCCTTACATGTAACGCAAAAAATTTCCGTGTCTCGAGTCTTGTTCAATAATTTCATGAACGTATTTTATGCGAAAACTGGGAAAGAAAGAGTCACATACTGATTTTACTCACCAGATCCATGACCTTCAAGCGCTAATAAAATTAGCATCAATAACAAGAACAGAAATATTTTTATTTTTAATCAATTTACTTTTAAAATTAGCATGAAATGTTGGAAATGAACAATCTGAAAAAAATTCCGATCAAAAAACAGTTGAATAATCATATGAGCTAATGCCTCATTTTCTGGGTCTGAAATTTAATTGGCACTTTTTGGGAAGACTCGAAAACGAAGACTTAAAAACTGAAATCACTCACGAGATCCATGACCTTTTGCGCTGAATGGTTGAAGATGATGAATGGAACCAGATAAACTACAAACAAACCCCCGTAGACAATGGCTTCGTTTGTTGATATTGTCTCTTGAATTGTTGGCAATGTAGTGACAACGATGTACAAACAACAGACGAAAGTGACGAACAAAGTTGCGTGCAAACAGGCGATGAATATCCCGAAAGTATCAGAAATTCGATCGCAATATTCCAAAACGCAAAAATATGCTTTTAGCAATGACGATTCTTTTGCCGAGTCCAGCTTTTCATCATTGAAATAAGTTTCCATTTGTTTGTGCACACTCTGAAAGCAGTTTTTGCACTCCTCAGTCAATGACCAGATGTAAATCATCAGGAACGCCATGTGATAGAAAATTGAGAAAGTCCAAATTCTCTGAAATGTCAATTTCAATGTCGCCAAATACTCATCCAGTCAATTTTTTGATCATAAGTCAAATGACCAACAAACAAATATTTTCGTGAAATGGGTATTGTTTTCATTTATTTTCTTGTGAAGCCTTGATGAATTGTTGATGAGAACAGTTGGTGAATTTACGGTACTTCTAAAGATGCATTATTTGCTCCTTTCATATACTGTATTGCGTTACTAACTGAGTAAAATCAAGTCGTTGATCTGTCAATTTTTTTGCTTGAAAAATGCGTTTCGTGTTTTTAATATGATATGAATTTGAAAATTTCAGTTCGCCGTATTTTTCATTTCGCTGTTCTTTTTTTCACAAAATAAGGAAGTACAGTTCTGTATTCTTTCGAAACAGAACTTCGATTGCGGAAGTAAAAATTATTAGAGACGTTGGATGAAAAATTAAAGTGGCACTTTTCTTTAACTTCATAATTTTATCCCTTGGTTCGTTATTCAATATTAAATTAAAACGAACGATTACTATGTAATTTTGGGTTGATATTAATAATTGCAATATGATGAATTTAATCTGTTGTCCGTAGACCGAGGTAAATAAAAATATCCGGTTAAAAATATATTCAATATATTCGCAAGTCACAAATATTTCAGTTGTACAAACACACAAAAATATACAAGATACGTAGATGTAAAGAGAGTCTTGCTAAACCGATTTGCAAGTCTCTCTGAGAAATAACCGCGAACAGATCTAGATTAATTCTGAGGAAATATACAGCACAGAAGGTATATATATGCGCCTTCTAGTAAACACAAAATATATGGG